TGACGTTACACGTGTGTCTATATAATAAGAGTCATCAGGAAACGTCACCACACAAGAATATAATATTCGTTAACACCACTGGTCTGATGTAAGTATAACAATTGTCATTCTTTGTGCATTTATTACTTCTAAAGTCAATGTCGCACGAGTTATGATTAATACATACAAGGAACAAACATTATTCCTTACTTTTTATAAGGAAGAGAATTAATTGATGCCAACCTCTTTATTATGAGGAACAAAACGTTTGGGAGTTCATACTTACTCCTTCATCGGGTGAATAAATGCTATGAAGCAGAGAACTGTAAAGTGTTGGATACCACTTATCAATTACTAATCACCTGTTAGCGTCAATTAACTATTGCCGTCCCTTGTTAAGTTTCCACCTTCGTTATCTTATTACTTTTGTTGTTCTTAAAGGTACATACATATGTACCAAAAGCCGTTGAAAGATGGCACTTGTTATTACCCTGCCTGGCGCTCGGCATTAAGGGGCTAAAACAAGGACTGGCCAGCTCGGAGTCAGTATACTGTGTCTGAGTGGGGTAGTCATGTTAAAACTGCGGCATGGTATCTCAGTAGGCTAGCACTATAAAATCGGCATTTATTCCGGACTAGTACAAGCAGTCACACACACGCGTGCATGCACCTCACAATAAGTGCAATAATTTTGAACGCGACATTAAACCCAATTTCACCCCACCTCAACACAATTGGCCCATAACGATCCAACACATTTTAAGACTATTTAATCTGCTAATGTTTAATTATTTTCAGATTCACTATGACATCACACGGTACAGTACCGTTTACCATTCTTACGTGTGTCAGCGTTGCTCTGGTGTCTGGCGACGATGCATCAATGACGACAATGCCATCTTCTGTGGACACGCCCACCCCAATTCCGATCATGGACTGGCAAGGTAGATAACAGTAAATGTAGACTTTGATAGGCATTAAGAAGTTGGAAGAACATGAATATATGACACATTTTTTAGGATAGCAACTTCCTTTTTTCTTTGTACGACGTTTCAGAGCTACTTCTTGTTCCTTCATCAGCGAAGTAGCTCCTACAAACGTTGTTTCTCCTATTCAATTAAAAATATGTAATCTGTCTGGTAATATTGTTTATTGGCCTGTACTACGGATGAAATCGACTGATTTGCTTTTTTTATATTGTGCCAGGAGGTACTAATTGTTTTCGAACATTCGACTTGATCATTTGTAGTGATGTGTTCTTTCTGTATATAAGTAATGACTTCAGAACCATTGGCTTTTGGCAGGTCCCCGCCCATTTCGTGGTTTTGGCCGTGTATTCCGACCCTTCCGATGCCTGATGGGGTGTCAGTTTGGCAACGCCCCGTCTGACTGTACGTGTCCACGCCGACCAGAATATACCTGTGCTGTGAGTAGAATGGTAGCTTCTCTCTTTTGCAAAATGAAATGTAATTTTAGAATCAAGGTGACACACTCACTCTGAATGTCGTTCTATTTACTTCATTTTTAATCATTTGCAAGGTGGGACACAAATACTGACGTTGTCCTCTGGGTTTGTTTTGTTGGAATGAAGTGTTGTACTGAATGAGGTCGATCTAATGTTATGATTGTTAATTGTTATTGTTATTTGTGGTATTAGCGGGAACCCCTGCCGTTCATACCACACGTATCACTAATGCCAAGTCTTTTTTGGTTCCATAAGCGGAAAGTCGGTGGTTCGATCCCCAGTTGCGTCATACAACACGACGCTAAGTGCAATAATTTTAATATGACAACCCATCTGCAGGAGGTCACGCCAGGTGAACGTTCTAATCAGCCAGCTTACTTAGTAAATTTTGAATTCTCGTTTCAAGCAAAGCATCCAGAACAACTTATCGGTATTCTGTATTTCGAAAACTTAAACGGCAGTTCCGAATGGAGACTAATAAAAGAGGCTTTACTTTGTGGGCACTACTTGAATGGCATCTAATAAGAAGGAAGTACTATAGAGCGGGCATATTTGTTCTTCTGTGGGTTGGCTTTTCTTCGACTGAAATGTCTGAAATTTCAGAATCCAGGTCAACGAACGAAATTGTTTTGGAATTATTAAAAGCATCAAAACCCTTTTCATAACCATGCAAAATCTCTGCTGCTCTGCGATTCCGACTACAGTATACTGATGTGTTTATGAATCAACATACCATGTGTTCGCTACATAAAGGGAGCACCCGTCACAAACACATGCATATACACGTCAATTATTCACCACCTCACCTAACGTGACTCCTATTGAGGGTTTATCATATTTTGACGGGGACAGTTATCAATTAGAACCACAGAGTCCGTTCAGGCAATGGTTTCCTATCGTTTAATGTGTAACCCATAATGTGTTTCAGCAATTGAAATGTACAGATGACAAGGTGTGTAAGGTGTTGTTTGGCCGATTCCCCCGCTGTGTTAGAGAACAGGCAGGTAAGTCGCACAGCGTCTCCAAATGATCGTAGCTTAACGATAGTAGTACTCATCACATACTTTTACAAATCTACACTGTTACTGTCGTCTTATTAAAATCTTAATGCAACACGGTGTCCTGCAATGCAATAGAGACGTTAAAAACCATTTAAATGAAATATAAATATTGCCAATGCAAGAGAATATCCACTCTAGATTATCCTCCGAAACAGATTCCATTTGGCGTAAAGGGCCAAATAGCTGTGAAAATTATATGATTGGACCACTGGAAATCAGTGATGACACCAGGTGTTGGCGAAGAGGGTGAGCATCTCCTGCCCTAACACATTGAACACCGCAAAAAAACTGATCATGTGCCTGGACACCTCGCCTATATTTCTAAAAAGAATATGTTTTCTATACTTATGATTCCAGAGCTTGGACCGGTTTTATCCGGATTGATAGATTTATAAGAATATTATTAAATTTTCAAACTTCATTTATCTGATCTCACAACTGTACGAGGCACAATTTCATAACCATAAGGCATAACGTACCGTTGTTGTGTTACATATATTTTGCAGGATTTGTAGGGTTTGTTACATGCTGGTATTGTCATTGTTTGTACGTGCTTTTCATTCCATTCCCTTTGACGATCCGAGTTAGAACTGGTCTTCAGTAACTCATGCGACTAACGGTTTTGGATGGGCAGGCTCGTTGACTTGGTTGATGCATGTCATCGCATCCCAACTGCGTAGACCCATGCTCATGATGTTAATTACTTGATTGTCTGGTTGCGATTATTTTCAGACCGCCGTTATATAGCTGGAATATTGTTGAGTCGCATTAAACAACAAACAAACATTTCAATCACCTTGGTTGAGTTCTCTGCATGAAAGAAATGTTTGAAATTCTTCTGCTGTTATGCGCCGTGCAAATGTTGAGATATTGCCGAAAGCGGCGTACAATCATGCTCATCCAATCACTCTTCACAAATTAAAGGTATTGCAATAACAAGTGTTTGAATGACCACGTGTTTGGTTTCATTGTATACTTTAGTGTGGAAGAGTTTTCTAAATTCGAGAAAAATGATATTTGTATTGCAGTGAACATAACACTTGATATTTCACTGCATTAAATACAACACTTTGACGTAGCTGTTGTCGTACAAGAGTTATCTCCCCGCTAAGTGTCTCCCGATATTGTAACTGTCTTGCCCGTACATAAACTGTTAGTTCCACAACGACAATGCAAAATATAAAGAGATGGTCATTTATGGAGTTAATATCGCTTTTGGCCTTTGTTATTCTCTTGAAAATGTTTTCTTATTAACTGTACATTTCTCATTTAACTCGTCAATGGAGACTCGTTTCGCAAAGCGCCATTTTTGTAACTCGACCAGCGTGTATTCCTTCGCTTCCAACAACTTTCTCGTAGGTTTCAAGAACATTTTTAGTTGAAGTTGATTTTGTATTTTATCAAATCCAAATGTACGATAAATAATGCAAACTCGGAATTACTTTTGAAGTCACAATTACAAGGGGTGGTGAAACGCCGCTGCATGTTAGATAGGGTGAATTTACATGTTTCAACGTTTTACATTTGCAATGACAAAAACAATCCGGTAGACAACTACACAATAAGTATATAAGACATAGGTTATTTCACTGTCTCGTCAAATATTATGTTTCTCTCATCTTGTAACGGGGGAAAGGAGAGTATCTACTCCAACATCACTCGATGAGAGAAACATGATATTTCATTCGACACAAGAAATTTCCTCTTTATATACACCTGTAGTTTGCGAACTGAGCATGACGCAGGGACATGTTCAGAGCTGGTGCACCGTTTCTACTACAACAAAGCCACCAAAAGGTGCGAGGAGTTACACTTTGGCGGCTGCAGGGGAAACGAAAACAACTTCCGGAACAAGAGGGCGTGTATGAGAACCTGTAGGAAGAGAGGCGCCTTCTTTAACAGACCTTAACATTGTAACTGTAGTAAATCCATGCTTTACTTGAATTCCATGTAGACCAGAGCCATATTGTCGTATCCATATAAAGTTGATCACACGTCATGCATCATTGCCAAAAATTGAAAAATAACTTGAGTATTGTCTTGAATATTGTCCATCAATCGTTTTACAATAAAATGTGTTAATTTTGCATAGTTTTTTTCTTTTTTTAAATGCCACATGATCAATAAGCTGTGCTTATTGAATATGTTCGAATCATGATCTTGTGTTTTGGGCACTAACACCTCTACGTACGTCAATGTTTACGAGCTTTTCCATATCTTGTTTTCTCTGTATTGTGTGAAATATGCTGTAGGTTGGACAGATATATTATTTATTTTGAGATTCATTGTTTTGATAACAATATTTTCACCATTGAAGATCCGGTTTTCAATTGGTCTTCAACAACCCATGCAGGTCGTAAGAGGTGGCTAACATAACCGGATCGGGTGGTCAGGCTCAGTGACTTGGTTGATGCATGCCATCACATCCCAATTGCGCAGATCGATGTTCATGATGTCAATCACTGTATTGTCTTGTTCAGATTCGATTATCAATAGACTGCCCTCACATTGCTGGAATAATGCGCTAAACAAACAATTAAACATACAAACAAACAAAAACAAACAAAACAAATATTTTCATAAAATTATATAACTTTATTTCTCCATGAAGCCTTGTGGTATAAAGCGCAATAATCCGCTCTCAAAGTTGCATCCCTTCGCCGTGCTATGATCCGCTGATTGTGAATTCAAATCACAGATTCGCCAAGATATTAATCCTTGAATCGATCCGTCAGGCCCAGGCCCATATTGAAACAAACTCTAATCTCAAGCCCAAATAACCCCTTCCTCCCTCTTATTTACAAGGAAAAAAAGTGAATATGAAATCTTTTCCACTTCTACGAACGCTGACATTTCTGTCATTTGTGCCGTGTCACCTGGGTTGAGTGATGGTGAACATTTATGTCCTCTTCCAGTTCGTCAGCGAAGGTAAATACGCATGATATGTTTGAAATGGAAAAAACACAACAACGTTAATGAATGTTGTCTCTGTTCGGAGGCTCGAAATCCAAACTGTATGTGTTGGCCGACACTTTGGAATAATGTACACCACTGTGTCCGTCTGGAAGCGCCAAATGTGATTTTTAAGAGGACAACTCTTCGTAGCGTTCCCGGGACCAGTGAGCGCTCAGACACGGTTCATTGACACCACATTTACCGCTCCCGGTACCAGGAAAATAGAACGAGAACAGAGAAGTACCGCTCATCAGTTCCATTACCGTATTTATGCATGTTAAGTTAAAATGTTTAAAATTTTAAAATGTACATATTCCTATCAATGTTCAGTAACGATGAAGTAGTTCCGACAAATGGTCTGTATTGTCAGTGTCAGACAGATGGTGGCTGACCAGGTCCTCCTTCAATGACCCGGGGTGGGCGTCGATCTGGCGGTAACGTCGCTTACGAGGAGGTTCAGAGGGGTTGCCGACCATGCCAAGGATGCTGACTTCGGTGTTGGACTGCTCTCTCTGGACAGCTGCACCAGTAGTATATAGTGAGGGCACAGGAGCTGGTTTTGGTTGATCCGGTTGATCCAGGCGGATGCGAAGGTGATTGGCTGATCCAAGTCACGTGATCGGATAGGATGACTCATGCATCAACAGCGCGTCGGGAAAGGGCGGGGAATGAAAGGTGTGTGTTTATAAGACAGAAAAGAATTTGTAAGTAAACAAAAGTAAAGGGTATTCAAAAGAGCTATGCGTATGGCGTTCTGCCCTGAATAGACAAGCAGCCCAGTTTGAATTGAGCGCGCTTGACAACTCACGTGACCACGTCGTTTCAAATTGTTTATTGGTCATAATGGTTTCGTTTATTTCAGGCGTTAGTAGAAATTACAATTAGTGTACAACTCAGGTAGTCGTTTCAAATTGACCGCGCTCGCGAGAGCGTGCGATCTGGTTTGATGAATGCAGGGTGTGTGTTGAAAGTACGACCATACCGCAATAGAGACGGGTTGTGTCAACACGATATACGCCGGGTAATGTAGGTAAGGGAAAAAAAATGTACGTCTAGCTGGATCAAATTCATCTAATATGGTCTACACGTTGTACACCGTGAACGTTAGACAACCTGTATAGAAAAAAAATAGAAACAAAATAGATAAGACTACGCAATCAGCAAGCTAGCGGTGTAGTTTACGTTTGGCGCGCAACAACGAGGTAGTGACGTCACCCTGCATTGACTATAACGCTGAAGGCAGCCTATATAAACACCACCCCGAATATCAGAGCGTCATTTCAGTTTGAACAGTCAGCAAGGAAACATGGATCCATCAAACGCGTTAGTGTATTTCTTAATGACTTATTTCGTTTATATTAAATGAGAATACTATACAGCTTACACATGTTTCAGGCTGAGTGAAAAGGTATGTGTTAGTAAAAGTGATTATGAGTAACTCTCATTACCAACTTTATGAAGAAAACAATGTTGAATCTCTAGCGTGAATTGATAGACAGGTTATTTCTTTCAGACCATTCACCTGTCCTGTTTGCGGAAACTTATATTCCTCTGAAAGGAATGTGAACCGCCACAGGAGGTCTGCTCACGAAGGGCAGCGCTTTGTTTGTGAGAAATGCTCTAAAAGTTTTGCTTCCAAACAAAAACTAAACCAGCACAAGTGCGCTGCCTGCTCGCAACAACGCCTATCGGAATACCGTTGTAGCGTAAGTTTATTCTCGTGAATGTAAGGGTAATTTCATTAGATTTAAGCGAATATGTGTGGGACTTTTATTTATCTTCCCATGCTTATTAAAAGGTAATTTTCATTTAAACACATGTGGTTCATTCTATGTTGAAAACAAGGACATCATGCTATGTTAGAGCGAGTATCTTTACTAAACTCGTACAGTCCCTTTAAGAACACTGCTTTATTTCTACATACAGAAATGCCCCGAGGTGTTCCCCTCTCCCCGTGACTTGGCCGTGCATTTTCGACTGTGTCATTCTAGCGGTAAGTTGAATGTTCATAATGCCATCTGAAGTAAAAGTGTGAAAGACATTGGTTATTGTATTGAAAACATCACATTCGTGACTTCGAGCTTATCATTTCACTCGAATAAAATATGCTCAGATGCTATAGATTGAACATATCTTTTTCTCCACAGGCGCAACACAGACGTCGCGTCATGACGCACGGCCGTCTACCTCTAGAGCAATACCGGTTAGTGGAGGTGAGTTCTATTTTGTATCTATCTATCACTTCATTCATCCATGGTTAGTTTTAACGGGGTTCATACCGCATAGGGTTTCACTATGTGTGTGTCGTGTGTTTGTAGATAGCATTGACTGTGATGTTTTCAGTAAACTGTTTTGTATTTCAGGGACAACCTCTACAAACCAGCCTACACCATCCACCTCCTCGGGGCAGTTTGCAAGGGCGGGAAACTCTCGTGCTAGTGGAGGTAGATATTGAATAGTATTTTATAAGCTATGGGTTTTAGCTAGCCCTGAATTATATGTATTAATTCAATTCGTCATGGTGTTCATATGTATTCGCTTTGGAAGTATTGTACAATATGTTAGTCATGCAATTTATTTGAAGCATAAGAGCTCGTTGTGAGTGAGTGAGTGAGTGAACGATGCTGTTATATGCGAGCCCAGTATTCATACAATTTTATTCTATCACCAGCTCCCACTCGTTCCCGTATCACAGCATCGGATGGTTGTACTACCTGCCGGACGTGTCATAGGCGTTTCGAGGATCGGTTGTCTCTCTACCGTCATCAGATGATAGAGGGACATCGGGTCTTGCCGCCCCAGTCCGGCAGTGGCGACGGGAAGCAGAACAAGCTCCAGGATCGTCCCTGGGGAGAGGATCCGGCCCCTTGGGACGCGGAAAATGGCCAGGTAGCGGAGCCCGGACTTCAGGAGGCCTATGACCTGAACGCTCCGTTTATCCTGGCCCCGGACCATCACGGGGACGTGCTTTCGACATTCAACGTTCCCGTGACCAATGTCATTTCGATAGGTGAGTTGATGGAACGTGCCAGGGATATTTATCAAACTTTAGATTATAGTTTTAGAATGAATTTAGCTTTTGGTGTCATCTTGCGTCACGTGGAAACGGGGCGCTATCGCTATTTCCATCCCTACGTTAATGATGCTGTGTTTTCATCTCCCATCTATGTCACCGAGCGCAAGGGACTCGAGCGATTGCGTCAAGCAGTAGAAAGCCTAGATCTACGCTCTCATGTATTGAAACAGCGTCCCGACACCAAATGGAAACCGGTTTTGATCACGAATGTACAGTTTTACTTGTACAGAACAAATTTTCCTCTCGGCCATCCCCCCTCCCCACTCCCGGCCTATATTAAAAACCACAAGGCTATCTTTTCTTTAGATCGTAATGAACGTGGTCAACTTTACGAGGACCACTTGTGTGCTTTCCGCTGCTTGGCGCTACATCGCAACCCTTCTGCACGGCGTTCTTTAGAAAAACCTGCTAGAGCTCTTTACTATCAATGGGTGGTATACTCTCGGGGTAAACTTTTTCCTTCTCTGGACAATGTTCGCCCCGAGGAGTATACCGGTCTTGACCCAGATCATTTTTCTCATTTCGAAAGTTGCTTCGGTGTGAACCAGTCTGTGTATACTCTCAACGAGATCGGGATAGCTCAACCCCTGTATAAATCTCGCGGCCGGTTTAACGATGACATCTTTCTAAACCGCTGTCCCTCATCACTGATATGAAAACATATTGTAAACTTTATCAGTGCCTCACCTGTGAAAAACTCTTCTGTTCTACGAAGAACATTCAAAGACCCCAACGCACGTGTACGGGTCAAACGACCTTGTCCTTTCCCGGTGGTTTCCACCGGCGTACCAAAAGTGTCTTTGACGAGTTGGAAGAGTACGGTTTATCTGTCGAGTCCGGAGAGAGATTTTTTCCGTGGTTTATCGTGTTCGACTTTGAATGTTTGCTCTAACCCATCGACCAGGGCACCGAGAAACTGAGGTGGATGCAGGAACACAGGCCCATTTCTGTGAGTGTGTGTTCCAACGTGGAGGGGTTTACCTCTCCTCACTGCATCGTCAATGCCGATCAAGATGTATTAATCGGTGACATGTTAAAGTACATGTCTCAGATCGCCTTCAGAGTCAACGAACTCGCCACGGAGAAATGGAGTTTTCAGCTGGGCTATCTCAACACCCGACTGGCTAGTTTGCCCGAGTCTGGTGATGAGAAGAAGAAAGAGGGTGCTCCGGTTAACCCTCTTTCACTGCTCCGGAAGCAACTCTCGAGTTTGTACGGGAAACTTTTGGGGTACTGTTCTCAAGTCCCCATACTGGGTTTCAACTCAGCTCGTTACGACTTGAACGTGATCAAGGAAAAGCTACCCAAACATCTCCCTCTCGACGATGCGGAATCTTGCGGGTTCACTGTCAAGAAAAACAACGGTTACTTGTGTCAAAGTAACGAGAGTTTTAAATTTCTTGATGTCACCCAGTATCTCTCTCCCGGAACAAGTTATCCTCAGTTTCTGAAAGCTTTCGGTGTACAAGAGAAAAAGGTTTTTTTCCCTTACGAGTATCTTGACAAGGTCGACAAGCTGGAAGAAACACGGCTTCCACCTTTGGGCGAGGCTTGGCATTCCAGTCTCAAACAGAAATCTGTCCTCGACGACGGCTTGAAATCGAACGAGGACAATTATACCGACCTCGAGGAAGTCTGGAGACGGGAAGGGATGTCCACGTTTTGAGATTTCCTCGAGTGGTATAACAATTTAGATGTAAGTCCATTTGTCGAAGCCGTAAAAGAAATGCAACGGTTTTATTTCGAGGACGGTATAGACCTCTTTAAAACCCACATGTCGGTGCCCGGTGTGGCCCGGCAAAAACTGTTCCGGGAGAGCGAGAGAGAGGGGGTCACCTTTGCTCTGTTTGATAAACAGAACAAAGATCTGTACCACGCTATCAAACAAAATGTGGTCGGTGGCCCCTCTATCATATTCACAAGATTCCACAAAGCAGGGCAGACGTGCATCCGCAGTGATCCGGCTAAACCCTGTCATCGCATTGTAGGCTACGACGCGAATGCCTTGTACCTGTGGGCCATCGATCAAGACATGCCCACAGGTCCATTCATACGGCGTCGGGTAGATAATCAATTTAAACCCAAGACGAGGGACAGGTACATGTCCATGTTCTATTGGATGGACTGGCTTAGGGATTCAGAAGGTTTAGATATCAAGCACAAGTTAAACTGGGGTCGAGATAAAAGGATCGGTCCATACTTGGTGGATGGATTTATTCCAGACAGCAAGAAAATCCTGGAATATAACGGATGTTATTTTCACGGCCATCCTTGTTTTCTCACCGAAAAGGCTAGGAGGGATCCTCAACTGAAAGATGTCTTGGAACAGCGGTGCAAGAACACACTGTTGCGTGCAAAATTTATCCGCAGTCAAGGCTACAAACTCGTAGAAATGCGTGAATACGAGTTCCTCGCCCAGTTGCGCAACAATCGTGATCTAGCCCGTTATATCCACGCCAAACGACCGACTTTCTATCACAACAACAGAGGTGCTGTGAGCGAACGTCGGATCTTGCAAGGGGTGCTGACCGGGGAACTGTTTGGCATGGTTGAAGCAGACATCCATACCCCCCTACAGTGGATCCCTGGACAGAACCCCCACGGTACTCGTCTCTCCCCTCGAGAGTATTTCGAAGAAATGACCACCTTGTTCTGTAACGCAGATGTTCCGTTCGAGGTGCTGGGGGAACATATGCAAGACTATATTCGGGAGAACGACCTAAGCACAAAACCGCGGCGCATGCTCGTCGGCGGTTTGAAGGCGCGTAAAATGATGATCGCCACACCTTTGTTGAGATGGTATCTCGAACACGGTCTGGTGGTCGATCGCGTGTATCAGGTCGTAGAGTACACTCCGAAACCGTGCTTCCAACGGTTTGTCAGTGATGTGTGCTCGGCGAGACGAGAAGCCGACAGCGACCCTAGCAAATCTATTCGCGGTGATACGGCAAAACTGACCGGTAATTCTGCTTACGGTTTGGTGTTGATCAACAAAGAGAAGCACCAAACCGTATCGTACGTGTGTGGTCAGACGGCGGCGAGTGATCAAGTGAATATAGCCCAGTTTCGCAAATTGACAGAACTGGGAGATGAGTACTTTGAGGTGGAGAAAGCCAAGAAATTACTCCGCCTCGATACTCCGGTGCAGCTGGGATATTTCATTTTGCAGTACGCCAAGTTGCGCATGCTTAAATTTTACTACGATTTCATGGATGTGTACGTAGATCGTAGTGATTTTGAATACTGCGAAATGGATACGGATTCGGCTTACATGTCGCTCAGTGCACCGTGTTTAGCAGAGGTGATCCGTCCCCACATGAAGCCAGAGTATGATCACCAATTACAGGGACTATGCGGGATGCAAGAGGGCGTCGCCATGCGTTGGTTTCCACACACGTGCTGTTCCACGCTCGCCCTTCATGATAAACGTACGCCGGGTTTATTTAAACTCGAGTACGAAGGAGAGGAAATGATTGGGCTCTGCAGTAAGACTTACGCCGTTTCCCAATCCACTCTCGAGCGCATTCCGCGTCCCTTGCCGAGTTCGACGGTACAGACAGCGCAACGTCTCCTCCGTCGAGCCCGCCGCCAACGTTGCCATAAATCTAACAACAGCCGCCGTTCGAATCCTCCCTTGATGGGCAAAATCCTGCTCAAGGTGAAATTCTCTTCGAAAGGCATTTCCAAACGCACATTGAAAAACCCTCTAATTGCGTTTTGGCAGGTCTTGCGCACGAGAGCTCCTGGGGAAGGTTCGAACTGCGGATCTAGGTTAAAAGGCAACACCATGTGCACGTATCACCAGCGTAGACAGGGGTTGACCTATCTCTACTGCAAACGCAGAGTTTTAGCTGACGGCGTTCACACCGCTCCCTTAGACCTAGAGCTTAGTGACGAAAAGTCAACGCTAGATGACACCGACACCTTTTTGGTCGAACTTTTAGAAAATTTAGCAGAAAATTAAACAAACAAACAAACAAGCAAAAGAGACAAAGTTTGTTATTACTAACAGCTTGTTATGGTGATACATAAGACAGTATAGTCATTTTAATACACAGTTTCCAGTGGCAACATGAGACAAACTTTCTATCAATTCACGTTTAAAACTAACAACTTGTAATCACAAGAGAGATTCCATACTATTTTACAGTTTCTAATGGTTTGAATTTCTTCTTCGCACCGAGAACACCGTCCCTCACTTTGCCACGCACGAACATGGGTTGAGTTCGTTTTCTCTTGCCTTTTCCCACCTGAGAGAAAAAGGGTTGTGAGTTGGGTAGATATTTCAGTTGACGGGTAAATGTTTGAAATCCAACATCTTTTATATCGTTACTGTGTAACATAAACTGTCGAATACAGTCAATCACATTAGAATGCATTATAGGGTGTCCGTGTTTATCCAACCATTCGAGGTTAGCATTCCAGTTAATGCGGCCGAGCTCTTTTTGTTGGTTGAGATATTGCCATAGCGACACTAACTTTCCCTTTTGGTCGTTCGAGTGGACGCGTAGTAACAGTAGATATAAAACATCTTGACAGTATAGGAGGGGTGGGTTCGCTACTGTTGCATTCCCTCCTCCTGTTGTTTGTGGGATATGTGAGGCGATGTTATTGTGGGTGGCCGTGTCCCGCTCAGCCGATGGTTCCTCAGTTGTAGTGTTGTCTGGAGTCTGCTGCTGTTGTGGCATAGGGACTGGTGGGGGTTTCAGGGCTGGAGGGGGGTTGGCTTCCATCTTTGGAGGAGGTTGGATCAGGCGATGGTACGTCTCGCGAGATAACAGGATCATGGGTTTCGTCATGTTCAGGTGCGAAATACCTGTCGAGCGCTCTCACACAAGGTGGTAATATAAAGTGAAAAGAAACCAGCAACTCCCTTTTAGCTCTGTATGCTTCCCGTTTGCTGGCTAGTAACCGAATGATCTTTCTGTACCGGTACAAGGTCTTTTTCTCGCGATCCGTCACGTTTATGTGTCCGATGATAATGTTATGTAACAGCGTGATGATTGAGTTAAACTGGTTTTTGGACAGATGAGACAGTAATGTTTTACGCTGTACAGGCTTAGACCGACTCAGTACGCTCATGGTGTGAAGTGAACCTTTTTGTACGTATAACCTACAGGCCCGCCGAGTGAATCGGGTAGGTCCACTCCAATCCGCCAAACTTCTTTAAGAGATGTAATGCACGCTTCCTTCGATGAAAACCACGTAGGGCTCTCTTTTAAGGTGATCTCTTCGGTCTGGTGTGGGTTGCTCTTATGAACAAGGTAGAGGGTGGCGGGTAACACACGATCGTCCAAAAGTAGACCTTACTCATAGCGTGGTAGCTGTAAGACTGACTCGATTAAAGCGTGTTTGTCGCTTTTATTTCGGAAAATAGAGGATGCAAAGTTCGCCGGGTAAGATGCCGGTGCGTAAGCGTCCGTATTCCGGGTCACTGTACGGCGAGGCGTCCACGACTAAATAACCGTATTTCCTCCCTTCCACCGCATCCTTGTAAGATTCCGAAAAATACTTGCTTTGACCTGGAAATATTTGCGAGGCCAAAATCTTGTATTCGTGAGCTGAACGGGGATTGCTCATCAAGACGAACATATGCGTGTTCACGCTCACCGTCCGTGAACAGGGACCTTTAGGGTAGATGGACTGTAGCAGATTGATTACGGTAATACCCAGATGATGCGACAAGGTGGTGTACACGTTTAACATGAGTTTACTGGTACATATGTCCATCATGAGATCGTCTAACACGAGAATCATGTTTTTGCTCGACTGATCGGACCACAAACGTAGTTGGCTTTCGCTGGGTAAAGATTCGTGAAACTGAATGTTAGCAATAGATTGCTGCACGTCGGCGTACAGATCCTGCCACACCCCGTAACAGTACACGATGAGGTCGGGTGGCTTATCAAACACTGTACTGGCATTCTCTAACAGGCGTTTCGTCCAATAGGTCTTGCCGCTACACGTGCCCACGATCACGGACAAGGTGCTAGGTGTGATGAAAGGGAGCAAACATTTCTCGGACATATTTCACAGAGTGTCTGTTTGAACTGATACATTCTATCACCGGTGCGGGCTTATTTATGCAGCCCTCGGTACGAGTGTCCGTTGTTGACGTCTAGCCAGTCTTTGGAGAGCTCTTTGGGCTTCGTCTCTGACCTGTCTGACGTGTTCGTACTCGAATATAAACTGAATCAAGGGAGTATGGTTTAACAGGGTTCGCTTAATGCTTCTATTCGTCGTGTCGGGACGAGCGATACGTCGCAACATTCTCAAATAATGGTTGTGGTGATGAGGCTGTAAGAAACGACGATTCTCACCACGTGTTACCAGCATGCGAGCATCGAGCAATCGCTTTACGATGGCTTTAGTACCCTTGATTTGCTCGCCATTCATGCTGCGAATATCACGCAAGGTTTCTTGGTAATCATTCAATGAAAGAAGTTGTCTGAAAAACGTATAATGTCGCAGGACGTATCTCGCCATGTCTGAATCGTACGGTGTCACACTCGACAATGAAACGTACTCGTGAGACTTTGATCTTAAATAATCATGAAAACCGTATTACCCAACTTACATAGAACCATATACATACATCCATGTCATATATAGAACTGAAACACAATAGACATTTTCTCTGTTTTTAATGACTCTTCTACCACTTTACAGGAAGAAAGATCATGTTATATCGTAGAACACGTGAAACAGTACTTGAAATAGTCACAGATAAAACGAGTCACATACACATCATAGCGTGTTTTGTCTGTACAAAACATCTGTACGATATCTCGTAAACTAGCACTATTTCTACATTTCTGTAACGCGTAATATAAACAATAGAATCCACAAGCACTTGAACTAGATTGCTGTAAAACAGACGTGTTATATCGATAACTGCGAGAATGTTTCTTGATAAAATATTCA